TTCTGTTCTAACATTACTTGCCACAGGGCTTTTTTTCCCCAGCTGGAACTCACTGGAACTCAGTTCCAGCACCCTCAGGTGGTCACCTTTATAAGAGAAGAAGGGAGACATTTGCAGAGAGTTCCGGCACCTCTTTTTTCCAGAAAAATAGCACTGACTTGCCACCTTCTTCATGTAACCGGCTGAAACGAAGCAGGGATGGGAAGAATCAGAAAATCATGTGATGCTTTGCCAGGCATCACCAGCGAGAACAAAGGAGGAGGCTATAGGACCAGTGTTTTCGGGGGAAGCCCCCGACATATCCACATATAGATGCCCTTGTTTTTAGGAATGGCTCACTGTGAGATGGCTGGGTCTTTAGGTGTAGCTAATAGTCACTATTTTGCAAGCAACTTGGCCCCTTCAATTGTAAAAATGTGCCAGCCATTAGCTCATGATTCTCTGCCTAAACCCATTTTGAGCAACATAATCTAGTACCTTCAAAAGACAAACCAATATGCTCTGAACCAGAAATAAAGAATTCATTAGTATCTTTTTTTTATCTGATAAAATATTTTCAAGCCACATATTTGCCTTGCAACTGAACAGAAAAAAAAAATGCATTCCAACATTCCTCATGAAAACAGGGCCATTCTATTGATGCTGCTTATCGTTGGATGTTAAGAATGGTTTATTTGTCATTTGCCTCTTTATTTATATCTTCATTAAAAGCAAAATTACTTCTACAAGAATCAAAAAGAAATACCTTCCTGTGTAAACTTCTGTATCGAACACTGTATGGAACAAATCCTTCTTGGAGAGCAAGGGTATTTTCTGGTACTAGAAGCATAGTGACAATACTCAACCCACTCTGAAATGTGTATATGACATGTAATATATTCCACTAGATGGCACTGTTTCTAGCCATCTTTTGTAAGATTATATTCAGGATGCTGAATAATAAATGAATCAGAATGAAATGTCTATTAAAGTAAAGTCAGAAGGCGCATTACAAATACCAAACAAATTTATCTTGCTTAATATTAAAGCGGTAAATATCAAAAGGATTAATAATGATTTGCTGCTGATTCTGAAAGCGTTGGAAAATAGCTCTTTTGCTGACTAATGGCACAACATTATGGCAATTTGAATGTGTACATTTGTTAAACGATTCCCATGCTTCTTGATAGTTGAAGAACAATGTGCCTTGACTCTCATTCTTGCATTTCAGTTGTTTCTTCTCAGGCAGGACAACTCCATTTTCAGTCATTCTGTTTCTGCAAAACATTTTATTCCCTGTATGCCATGATTTTATTGTCTGTTTGGCACTCCGGTGTATGCTTTTAGGAGGTATGTTATTATTAGCATATTGACAAACCACCTTGCAGATGGTTTGTTAATATGCATGCAAATAGAGCTGAAAGATCAGGAGTTCTTAGGATAGTCCAAATTTGCCTTTCTATGTAACATTCTGTAAAACTGTCCCTTCCCTGTACCTGGCCCTTATTACCAATCTACAAACAATTTATGGATGGTTGAGGATTGTAAACGATTTCGCCCACATCAACGGCTTCTCATGAGGCCCCTTGATCTTTTTTATAGGTGGCTGCCTATTACTTGAACACCAATCAGATTATGATCAGCCATGAAACTAGTTTTGAACCAGGTGGAAAAGTTCTTCACATCATGGATAATAATAATAATAATAATAATAATAATATAATAATAATTTATTATTTATACCCTGCCCATCTGGCTGGGTTTCCCCAGCCACTCTGGGCGGCTTCCAACAGAACACTAAAATACAATAACCTATTAAACATTAAAAGCTTCCCTAAACAGGGCTGCCTTCAGATGTCTTCTAAAAGTTTGGTAGTTATTTTTCTCTTTGAAATCTGGTGGGAGGGCATTCCACAGGGCGGGTGCCACTACCGAGAAGGCCCTCTGCCTGGTTCCCTGTAACTTGGCTTCTCGTAGCAAGGGAACCGCCAGAAGGCCCTCGGCGCTGGACCTCAGTGTCCGGGCAGAACGAGGTGGAGATGCTCCTTCAAGTATACTGGACCGAGGCTGTTTAGGGCTTTAAAGGTCAGCACCAACACTTTGAATTGTGCTCGGAAACGTACTGGGAGCCAGTGTAGCTCTTTCAAGACTGGTGTTATATGGTCTTGGCGGCCACTCCCAGTCACCAGTCTAGCTGCCGCATTCCGGATTAGTTGTAGTTTCTGGGTCACCTTCAAAGGGCCAAGAGATAGTTACCATGTACTACACTGAGAAATATTTTTACCAGATATGGTGATGGTGATATAATACAGTCAGCATGTATTCAATAAGCATGGACATGTCTATCAGAGCAACCATATGAAGTCTAGCTTTCTGAAGAGTTGTATATCTCTATTGAATGGTGTGTGTGTGTGTGTGTGTGTGAGAGAGAGAGAGAGAGAGAGAGAGAGAGAGAGAGAGAGACTACAGACAGAGATCCTGCAGAGTGCAAATCAATGAATTACCGTACATGTCATCCAGCTTTATTTATTTTATATCTTGTATCCTAGAATAGCTCACTTATTTGGGGAGTGTGTCAAACTCCCAATTAGATGTCAGTGACAAACTTGGCTCACACACTTGGGACTGAACTGAGCACCTCTGAAGCCAAATACCACGACTCTCCATTTTTTACTTGAGCCAAGATGACTAGGTTGTTTCTGCTAAGCAGCAATTGAGTCCCTTTTTTTTTCTCAGGGCCCTAAGCAAGCACCTAGCATAACTCATAATGAGCAGCAGTTTACACAAATCCAATTAAGGGCTGAAGGTTGAAAGTATGGCTTCATAAATGTATTGATGTAACTCGCCGCCTGACTCTGCAAAATGCAAAGTTGTAGGGCAAGCATCTTCAAACTCGTTCGAAATAGGATCGTTGTAAATTTTCCTATAAGGGTTTCCTCCACCACACACACACATGGAAAAGAAGCCAACATCTAAGTATTAACGAACACTATAGCTCTCAGCAGCTTTCACATTAACAGAATAAGTCTAAACAAGTCTATTGGTAGAATCATTTCCAGATAATAGAATCACCTTCAGGTAAGTGGGTATAGGATCGTATAGGCTGGTACTTCCTGAAGAGCTTGTCCGCAGTTCTACTTGTGTCATGCCTCGAAAGCCTGGGTCTGAGCAGTTTTCCACTTGAGCCGCATTTTCTAGGCATGGGTGTGAGTGGTTTTCCTCTTGCCCCACTCTTTTCAAAGGGAAAATCCAATCTTTAGTACTATATCAGAGCAAACATCAATCCCGAGAAAACTCGAATTGCTGTTTGCTCTGACTGAGAGCCAAAGAGCAGTTTTCCCCAGGAGAAAGCAGTGAGACAAGAGGGAGCATGGATAAGCCCTTAGTAATACTCTGAGCAGCCTCATTTAAATCTATTGATTAACTGAAACCAATAGTCAGTTTTCAATACTCCCATGTGCCAAGTATTATTTTCATTTTTTATTTTCTCTGTGTATATACTGCCCTTCCTTCCACAGCAGCCCTGGGCTACCAACTCAAGCAATAGTGCCATTACAGGTGGAGGCTGGGAAAGAACTCTACTTAAAGGGTTTGCTGGAAGAGGAAGGTCTCCAGTAGGTGCTGAAAAGGCAACAGGGACAGCACTTTTCTAATATCTAAAAGAAGGGAAATCCACAGGGCAGATGCCACAATACTAAAGGCCCAATTCTTATATCCTGCAGAATGGACTTCCTGGTAAGATGGCATTCGCAGGAGGCCTTCACCTGCAGAAGGCACAATTTCATACCCGCCAAGAGTCCTGATTTTCCAGGGACAGTCCTGGAATAACAAAAGCTACCCCAGCTTCTGATTTGATTCCGGAATGTCCCTGTTTCCTCTGCCACTGCAGCCAAGCTCAGGAAAGAGGCTGGAACTTGTCCCAAGTGAGGGTGGCAGCTGTGAGAGAGCATCTGGTTGCCTCTCCATGGCCACTGCTACTGGCCTTCAGCAGTTTCTAGCGGCTGCTGCAGAGTGGACAAGGAGGAAGAGGAAGAAAGAGCATTTGGATTTGATATCCTGCTTTATCACTCCCCCTAAGGAGTCTCAAAGCAGCTAACAATCTCCTTTCCCTTCCTCCCCCACAACAAACACTCTGTGAGGTAAGTGAGGCTGAGAGACTAGCCCAAGGTCACCCAGCAGCCTCATGTGGAGGAGCGGGGAAGCGAACCGGGTTCACCAGATTACAAGTCCACCGCTCTTAACCACTACACCATGCTGGTTCTCATGGGAGGAGAGGCTGCCATTGCTGAGGCATAGCTCCACATGACATGCAGGCTTTGAGGGGTAGGCAGAGTGCAGCGAATGAGAAATGTCCCATCTGAGGATTGTTGGTGGGTGTGCAATTTCCTGTATCCTGGTCCCAAGCTGTGTAGGGGCTTTATACACCAAAACCAGCACCTTGAACCTAGCCTGGTACTGAACTGGCTTTCAGGTGTGACTGAGATGCAGACCCATGTCTACCCAGAAGTCTCACTGAGTTCAGCTGGAGTTACTCCAAGGTCAGCGTACATAAGATTGCAGCCCAAATACCAAAATTATAGTTGCTCAGCATGGATAACCAAATCTGAACATGTTAAATAGCAATCTTTGAGAAGAGCTCTCTGCTTTTTGTTTGTTTTTGTGGGTTTGTATCCTTAATCCGCCACACTCATTTGCTGGTGTCCCTTTCAATAATGAAAAGATATGAATTCTCTTCTATATCCAGTTTACCTTGGCTTATTTTTCTAATCCTTCTATTTTGTAATTTGCGCAGATTTGTCTTGCGGAAATAATTTGAGTAGTGTTATAAAGTTAAATACACACAAGCCTTCTCAGAGCTGGATTTGACTTATAATTTCTCTTACATAACTTTTATAATGTTGTCTAGCAACAAGCTCACTTGGTATGAATCCAGATCTTCAGTCCTATCTGTCTTTCATGCTTTCGTTACAAGAAGTTTTGAAGAAAAGAAAAGAAAAAACCCACAAGAGTTACTGTACAACCTCTGTTATTAGTTGACTGTGTGCTAATAATAGGACACTGGAACATTTTCATGCTTATTAATAGAATCATGTCAATTTTCTAGAAAACTTGCAGTCTTCTTTTTCCACGATAAAAAGTACAGCATTCACCATTCACACTTTATAGTCATTTTAATAGGCAATTACAAAGCCATTATAACTCTCCATGTTCTCCTGCTAATAGGAAATACAGAGTACACTATATATACACTGTTGTATTGTTAATTTTCCCTTCTCCATAGCCAGGAAAATGGTTGAAGGAGAAGAGCAGCACTTCTGATTTGTGTTTACTTGGAAGTCCCACAGAATTCAATGGTATTTGCTCCCCCGAAAGTGTGTTATAGGTTGCATTTAATGTTAAACCCACCCAGAATAGACCAATTGAAAATTATGGGCATAACTAACTTAGGTTGGGACGCGGGTGGCGCTATGGGTTAAACCACAGAGCCTAGGACTTGCTGATCAGAAGGTCAGCGGTTCGAATCCCCATGACGGGGTGAGTTCCCGTTGCTCAGTCCCTGCTCCTGCCAACCTAGCAGTTCGAAAGCACGTCAAAGTGCAAGTAGATAAATAGGTACCGCTCCAGCAGGAAGGTAAACGGCGTTTCTGTGCGCTGCTCTGGTTCACCAGAAGCGGCTTAGTCATGCTGGCCACATGACCCGGAAGCTGTACGCCGGCTCCCTCGGCCAATAAAGCGAGATGAACGCCGCAACCCCAGAGTCGGTCACGACTGGACCTAATGGTCAGGGGTCCCTTTACCTTTAACTTAGGTCCAGAAATGTTAATGGGTCTACCCTGAGTAGAACAGCTGGTTACAAACTATAGGACTTTACTGTCTTTTGGAGAAGTAAAAATCCAGATCAGTGTATCTGAGAGCTATTGGGCTATAATCAGGGTGTCTCAAGTGACTGTATTGTATTGAAGTTGCTGGAAAAGCATGCCTGTATTTTTCCATGGGGCTTGAGCAGTGATATTTTTCTAGAAAAAGAGTTGCCAGAACTCATCATGAACTCCTCTATTGTTCTCTTGCAATGACAATGGTGATCACCTGAGATGTGCCAAAACTGTGTTCTGGTAAGTTCCAGCTGGGAAAAAAGCCCTGGGCTTGAGATGGAGACCTGCTGTAAATTTCCATTACAGAGGTGGAGTGATCTAACTCTTTACAGCCCAGTCACATGCAGTCACAATACTTGGATGGGGTTACAAGATGTTTGCATATGTTAATGAAGAAAGTCCTCCATCATAGACCACATTGGTTTTTGTTCTCAACTGCTGAGAAGAACAGACGTGCTTTCTCCCTGGAAAAAGCAGCCTGAGGCAAATAGGTTGGAAATGGGAGAGAGAAGGAGGTTTGAATAATAAAGTCATGTCTTTACTGAGAGTGGTATATATCTGATGCAACATATTTCCATTGTTTTTGTAATGTTTGGAGCTAAGTTCTGTTAGTAAAGCTTTTTGAACCATTTTTGGGGGGCTGGAGAAGTTAATTTCTAAATGGGAATTAGTTTACAAAGAGAAAAAGTTCTGCTTGAGTTAATTTACAAAATCCGTCAAAGCAGAACTTTGCACTTCTACAGTTAAAGTTTCAAAATTTTTATTATTATTATTATTATTATTATTATTATTATTATTATTATTATTTACACTCCCCACCCACCTTTTCTCTTTTTCCTAAAGATATTCTGTAATGCTGCTGCCTTGGCAATCATCACCATATTTTTTCCCCTTTCTCCATTTGTTTTATTCTTCCATTATTGTTATGGCCAACGCATTGCACCGCCTGCCTCTGATTCTCTCTCTCTCCCTAACCACTAAAGTCTCATAACAAACCGACAGAAACATTTACCTGAGGAAGCTTAACAAAAAGAAAACCCCCCAAAGAATATAGAACATGCTGCCCATCATGATGCTACTAACACACACAAAAACCTCTTTGCTAAAAAAACCACGTCCTTTGAATACATTTCCATGAAAGGTCAGGTAAAGGGTTAGAACTACTGGGGTTTTGTCCTCAGAGAGGGAGGGATTCCAAACAGCCGAGCGTTTTAAACATTTATCTAAAAATAAAAATTTAAAAGATAGGTGCTCAGCCTACCAAAATAGATTTAATTTTCTTTTAATGTTCCTGTAAGCCTGCCAAGATTTAAATTGGATGTCTGGATTCAATTCTGGTGGAAGGAAAATGATATTACCCAGTGCAAGCCCACTTTGGGAAAGTTGAGAGCTTTAAAAGTTTTATTTGCTCATCAAAATAACATGCCCAAGCAGTGCACAGCCTACGAGTCTTTCAAAGGCAACCTATTGCACACACCCAGAAGCTATCCATCTCCTGGCATATTTCATATGACTGTGCCAGGGGCAAAGTGTAAGGCTTTTAAATATCAGAGAGGAATTCTTATTTAATTGACTCTCCATTTGATGGGCCTTGCCCACTTATACCTATCTGCTTCCCTTCCTTCATTAATTCGGCCTCACTGTGGTCATCTGTCATTCTGCTGCTTCTGAAGATGCTCCACTCTAATGTGCTCTTTGCTGCTGGATGCTGTTGCTTCTGCCTCTTCTACTGGACCAATGTAAGAGAAACAGAAGAGAAAAAGACTCTTTCGGAAACACAGGAGATGAACATCGCGTCATCAATTTTTGTCCTCTCTTCATATGCAAAGCACAACATCCAGCAATTATCAAATAAATGGTTCTCAAGTTGTGAACGGTGTCTGTTCCAATATGCAACAGAACAATCAAATATTTCATTGGTCATTCCTGTTTGATTCCCCCCTCCAATTTTCTCAGAATCCTCTTTCGGAAAACTATCATTATTAGGCTATGCATGGAACGTTATCATTTCCAGCCACTTACACTGGCTTAAATTGTTTTAGGACTTTTTTCATTATTTTCTCTGGAAAATTGTAACCGATCCTCAATTAGAGCCATGTATTAGATGTCCAGACTATTCTTTTTCTTATTGTTATTAGTCAATCACTTTGCACAAAAGTCTCAGAGAGACTTCACAAAATAAATGCAACAAATTTAAAACCTGGAAAAAAGCAAAATACAAAAATGCTAACCCAGAATACATAAAGTGCTTACCCAATGACACACATATTGATGACAAGTCCATATTAATGAGCTATAGAGGCATCCATACTAAGGCATTTCTTGGTAACGGTGAACAAATGCACTGTGAAAATGGAATATATTATTTACAGTATGAGAAGACTGAACGAAATACACACACCTGAATTCAACCCACAATCCAGCAGCCACATCTTACACTGGGTAGCACAGAAGTGAATTGCAAGCTGTTGTGGAAAAGTTTTTTTAAAAAAAGGATTAAAGAAAAGAAAACTTCACTCAACGAAACAGAACAGAAGATGTGGATGAAAAATATATTATGACCTCATATTATAAATGAACAGTTAGAGAAAGAAATGGTTGGAAGCCATGCATAAGTCAGAAACACATTCAATCACTGGGAAAACTGTGCACAATTCAACCACCTTGCTATAAAAATGGTTCTTAGAACATTCTTTTTCAACGAGTTACAGGTGGCAAAAATAACTGCAGTGTGATTTTGGCATTTGTTTTCTTCACAAAAGGTGTACAGGTAGTGGAAACATTCAGTGGATGGAAAGACACTAAACAGTAACCAGTAAACTATCTGGTAGGCCTACAGATGCTGCTGAACTACAGCTCCCATCAGTGCCAGCCAGAATGGCCAATGGCCCAGGATGATGGGAGTTGTATTAAACAGATTCATGCACCATATTACAGAAGAAACAGAATAGATGGACCTAATGAGGCAGGCATGGATTTAGTTAATCTTTCGTAATATGGCACCCAGTATGAGGCCAAAATTTGGTGCCCCAAAATGGATCTTCTCAATTATGGATCTTCTCAATTTTGCATCCCTTCAGCTCTGCGCTCTGTGTGGGTGGATGTCCCAAACAGCCTTAAATCTAGCACTGAGTATGGCCCATCATTGTGCTTTACAACATTTTCAAGATTTTGGACACTTCTGTTAGGAGAGAGAGTCCTCTTTTGATGTTGAGTTGATGAACTCCACAACTCACAGTCAGAACATATAAAGGTTCTTTTCCAGTTTCAGTGGTTGAGCTGGTTTTGATATGAAGACTTGAGTCAAAATTCCTGTTTGCTTATGGAGCTCCATGGGTGGCCTCAGGAAATGTACTGTCTACCTTTCTAACCCTCCATATTTATTATGTAGAAAAGTGAGACTGGTGCACACGTTACATTTAATTCTGCTTTCTCCCCTAAGAAGAAATGTAAAAAAAAAGCCTCCATTAAGAACCCTGCTGGCATGTGCACCAATCACAAAATTCATTGCTGACCAACTTGGGTCTGTCTAGGTCAGCTTCATTTCTCCCTCTACCACTCACTATTGATTTTTATTTTTTTTTATTTTTAATGCTATAATTTTCATTTAACTTTTGAAAGAAGTGGATGAAATTTGCCTGCCAAATTTCAGAAGGATTGCTGTAGTGGTTTTCCTACAAGGGCAGCCATTGCAATTGGGTGATGGGTGGTGTTTTTTTGTTTGTTTGTTTGTTTTAAGGAATTGCTTAATCTCTTCTAATATTTTGTGAGCAATTAGTTTCAAAACTGCAGACATGAAAACGGTGTCCCTGGGTATTAGAAACAAAACGCACACACAGTGCCAAATTGCAAACAAATAGTCTGGCATTTTTTGTGATAACTATCTTTGAATTATTTTTGTGTGTGTGTGTGGTGGGGTGGGGAATTCAAAGTGATTTACTTTCTATGCAAAGTCGTTCCATCCGATTTCAAGATTAACCTGTCAGTTAAAATGAAGATGTCCCTCTACCATCTCCCCTCTACTTCCTGTAATCTTTCTTAAGCTTAGAGACATTTTCGCTCTTGCAAAGCTGCTCCCTCTCCAAAGCATTGGAGACTGCTGCTAAAATCATTACCTCTGATTATAAACTAGACCTGTCAGTCACACAGCAGCTCCCCTCTCCCGCCTTCTGATCCTGGTGTTTTCTTTAAGCTAGAGACATAAGTTTTGATTCTGCAAACCTGCTTGAGATGGTGAGCTTAGAAATATAGTTATGCTTTTAATTGACATTTGTCTGCAGCGTTTTCTAAAATGTCTGGGTTGCTCAGACACTATGAATCACTTCAGGTGGCCGTGCACTGGGTAACTCGGCTCTATAGAGATTCTCCCTCACCTCAAATGAACCCAAGGCTCCTCAGAGGCATCCTGCCTCCGTTTGGGATTCATCCAGATCCCATATACAGCCCTAGTGTGCTCCCCTGTTTAGTATATTTGTTACATTACCAGCATCTATGTGAAGCCTGAATGAGTAATCAGGGTTCAGCAGACAGTACAATAACAATGTACAGTGGTACCTCGGGTTAAGTACTTAATTCGTTCTGGAGTTCCGTTCTTAACCTGAAACTGTTCTTAACCTGAAGCACCACTTTAGCTAATGGGGCCTCCTGCTGCCGCTGCGCCACCGGAGCACGATTTCTGTTCTCATCCTGAAGCAAAGTTCTTAACCTGAGGTACTATTTCTGGGTTAGTGGAGTCTGTAACCTGAAGCGTATGTAACATGAAGTGTATGTAACCCGAGGTACCACTGTACACTTGAGTACATTCTTGGTTCTTTTGGATTGTGACAGCTGTATTGAATTTGCATTGCTTTCCTTTTTTAAAAAAACAACAACAACCATATGTATAATTTTTTTGGCAAAGCGTGTTTAAGGAGATAACAGAAATCACTGGGTTAAAACTGACCAAAAGTCCAGAGGTAGCACTATTATCAATTTACGATGGGGTGGAAGGTTCACAGGACTTGCTCACAAATTTATTGACAGCTGCACGAATTATGATAGCTAGGAAGTGGAAGGGGCAAGCAGAATATAAAATGGAAGAATGGTATAAAGAGGTGTGTGATATAGCTATTAATGATAAATTAACATGTGTCATTAAGGTAAGATGGGGAATATGCAGGAGAAATGGTTTTGAGGAGATATGGAGGGTGTTTGTAGAATTTGTACTGTTAAAACGGAAAGGGGTCAAACCATCTCAAGAGGTGTTGAAGTTTTGGGAGGTTGGGTAGTTACAATGGAATGGTCTTGGTGGTGGGGTGCACACTTTTATTCTTATTTATTTATGATGATTATTTTGTCAAAATAAAATAACCCATAAAACTAGAACCTGTCTTTCCTCCAAGAAGTTCAAGCTGGCATACATGGTTCTTACCATGTCGTGCTAACATCAATACTGTGAGAGGTAGGTTAGGCTGAGCGACTATGACTAGTAATGAGCTGCATGGCTGGGTGGGGATTTGAACCCTGGTCTCCAGATCCTAGTCCACTACATACCACATTGGCTTCCACTGAATTTATTTTCCAATTTTGGCTTTTGTCTGTTGCCCAGTAGAACTGCTGTGCATTTTTGTGTCTTAAAAGAACAACAGCAGCTGCAAAAGATCTAGAGAGAACAAGGCCAGCACCTTGCAATTTATTGCCTTGTCATAATTGTTCATTTGCCCCAGGAAGGAGTGTATAATAAATCACTTATCCAAATGAGTTTGGGTATTCTACGTTAAAGACATTTGAGTTTAAAACTGCTATTCTTGGCCAATTTACAATGGATAATTCTTGCTACCTGGTTATGTCTCACAAGGTAATCAATACTTGACAGAGCAGGGCAACCTGTAATGATGCAATCTATTGACTGGGTGTGTGACTGCATTCATGCTGTTTGTCATTAGTTGTAATTTTGGGGACAAATCTGTCATTGGATCTTGAATGGCAGCTATAATATACTCTGCTTGAACACGAAAGTTTGCTCTGTGTTCAAGAGTGTAATTGATTTCTTTACTCTTGGCAGGAGCATCACTCAGACTCCAGCCCATCTTCATTTTGCATCTCTTAGGAGCAGAATTAGAGAAGGGGTAGGGCCAACTCCCCTCCTCTCCAGTCATCCTCACCAGGAATGATGGGAGTTGTGGCCTAAGAGCATGTAGAGGGCCAAAGGTTGTCCACTCCTGAATTAGAGATTTGATTTGCTGAATGGCGCTGTGGGTTAAACCACAGAGCCTAGGACTTGCCGATCAGAAGGTCAGCGGTTCGAATCCCCACGACGGGGTGAGCTCCCGTTGCTCGGTCCCTGCTCCTGCCAACCTAGCAGTTCGAAAGCACATCAAAGTGCAAGCAGATAAATAGGTACTGCTCCGGTGGGAAGGTAAATGGCGTTTCCGTGCGCTGCTCTGGTTCGCCAGAAGCAGCTTAGTCATGCTGGCCACATGACCCGGAGGCTGTACGCCAGTTCCCTTGGCCAGTAAAGTGAGATGAGTGCCGCAACCCCAGAGTCAGCCACGACTGGACCTAATGGTCAGGGGTCCCTTTACCTTTAACACAATCTTATTTCTTGGGAAGGGAGAATTTGCAATTGTTGGTTTGACAGAAAGAAACATTGCATAGAATCTGTCATCTTATGCTTGCAACTCCATCTGCAGGAGATGATCTCCTAAAGCATTTTCTCTCCTTTGCTGGCTCCCAGATGATGAATAATCACAGCAATGCCCATGGTTATTACATAATATGGGAGCCATCCACGTGTGCCTTGCATATGTCATATGTTCTAGCTGTCCCTCTTTACAATATTGCAATGAGTGTTGTAATTTAGAGACACTTCCTTACAAGGGACATAGGAATGGGAGTTAAGAGATAATTTAGAGAGGAGCCCCAACATATGTTGTTCCTACCTATAACTGATAGGCAATAAACCATTATATTAACTTATTTTACTTGACCTTTATGGGGGTGAACCCCATGGCGTCAGACGTAAAGAGCAAACAGACATTTGAAGAAGAAGTAGGGCAGCTGAATACTGTGGACAAGAAGAGACCCACACAAATATTGAGACCTGGTTGCAGGAGGTAGCAGGAGAATGGTAATAAGAGAACATTTGCAACTGTCATCCAGCCTACAGGTGTCTGTCAACATTACTGAAAAACTGCAGAAAAATCAGGCAAAGATTTGAACTTTATCCATAGGGTACCATAGAGACTGAAGAAAAACCAGATAAACTATCTCTTTTGTTGCATGTTGTTAGGAATAAGTACAGGAGATATACAATTTCCTTTCTGCACAAGAAGAAAAGTGAATAAGAAAAGTGAATATAATGCTATAATGACTAAATTCAACGAGTATTGTATACCCCCAAAACACAGACCATTGAAACACAGAGAATTTTTTGTACACATATGGGAAATTGATGGGAATATAGAGCAATAGAGGCCCATGAGTTAAAAACCTCTTAACAAGCCCTTTGCACTTATTAGACTCTCTGAGAAGATTTTTCTGTAGCATTAAGGAAACCACAGTAAGGAAAAGAAAGTTGCATGAAGAAGGTGTCATTTGAATGGGAGAGGAAAGCTTAAGATATGCAGAGTAGCAGAGCTGGTGAGAGCTCAAGCCAGCATGACTAATGGTCATGGATATTTGGAGTTTAGAGTCCAGCAACATCCAAACAGCCACAGATTCCACACCTCTTCAGGTAAAGGAGGGTGTGCCATCATGAAATATAAAGACACCATATACAAACGTAGGCTACCTATCCCTCATAAGTTTAGTTGGAAAGGGCTCCTTTGGTCTCGTTGCCACCACAGCAGAGCTGTACAAATGGAAAGGTGAATCCCACACTTGTTGATTTCTTTCTCCTGCATTGAGGTAAACAAAGGCAGAGCAATTCTAAACAAAGGAAGATGGTGGAACTTAATGCAGTCTTAAATTCAGCAGGTACAAATTAACTCTATTCCAAACTCATTTCAGGTGATGGGTTACTGCCATCTGAGCCAGCCTAAGTCTGGCAGAGGGAAAACAAACCCCTCTTTTTGCCAGTATAATTGACGCTGAGTTGCCAAGTCACATGACTGAGCTAAATGGAGTTAAGATCCAGTGTAAGTCCCCCTGCCCTGCCTCTCCAGAGCACCCATTTTTCAGGGCTTATGTGTTTTTCACAGTGTGAGGCCTGGCTGAGCCAGGTTGAGCGACTTATACTGGCATAGCCTGGCTGTGCTGCGAACTGATCAGCCGAGCCATAGAACTGCCAAATCCTAACTCGCTCAGCTCAGTGGATCTTGGGTTCGGATTACCCATTTGTAAACTTTCTGCTTAGTTCTTTGGGTGGGAGGGGAGTAATTGTTCACATCAACCTTCATTTGTGGTATATTCTCTCAGCCTCTTCATAAATCTGTTTGAGTCATATTCAGATCATGTAGGACAGTATTAAACTCCAATAAAGATAAAATGAAGTGAATATAAGCCAAAGGTTTATGTTGGGTGCTAGTTGCTAATCCAACAGCGTTTTGTTTATTTAATCATGTTTCGGTGTTTCCATTCCCCCTTCTCACTATAATTCTTCCAACTTTGCTCCTGTAGTTCCACACTTCTCATTTATTTTTCTCTCACAGTTAGGTATTATAGCACTCATTCTTTGCTTCGGTTAATGGAAAATGACCTTTTGGTTTCAGGCTTCATATCTGTACCTCTCTTATGGCTGGGCGACAAACCGCCGAATGAATTTCTCTGAATTTCTCTTTTAACAATTCAACACCGCCGTCATACGAAATGTCTTTCTACTTGTATTAATTTTTTGGGTCACTGGTGTCTTCCCCATTTTTTAATGTCTTCATTTATATATGTAAATGCTGCTTTTTATATTTAAGAAAACCCATGAAATTTTTCTTAAAATTGAGTCTTTTTCTAACGTTATTAATAATTGTCTGTTCAGCTGCAGCATTTGGTTTCAGTTCCCCTCAACTTCTCTGTTGCTAAGCTAGATTTCTTCTCTGCAACTTTTAAAAGTGCTTTTCTTCTATCAAGACAACCGAAGTTTTGTATTATTACGTGTTCTTAAGTGTATGCAATTGTGCCTCTTACACAGATGGAAAGCTCTTTGATCCAGCAGAACCTTCCATCAGCAGGATGGGAAGGGAGGCAAATTTTATGGATTTCCTCCTCCCTCTGCTGCCCTCCATGTCACTTCTCATACTGCTTGAAAGGATCACCCAGCCCTCCAGTATAAATTTCGGAGGAGCAGTGGAAAGTATGAATCAGCAAACCAGCCTTCATTTCCACTGAGGAAAGGCCTCATTAGATCAAGGAGCCTTCCATGATTGCAATGCGCCTCATTGGACATGTCAAGTCATTATGGATATGGATTCATAATTATAATAATTATTAGCACAGAATCATCTATACTGACACAGCAACTCTCCAGGGTATCAGACAGGGATCTTTCCCTGCCTGCCCTACTTGGGTTGTAGCAAGGACCCTCTGTGTGCAAAGGAAACATTCTAGCAGTGAGGTATGGCCTTTTCCCCAAAATGACAACCCAGGGTGATCTGATTCTCTCTTTCTGCTGCTGCTGCTTGTGACAGAAGCAGAGCTTCCCTTCATTTTTGCTGCCTGCAAATAGGATGGTGAATTGAGGGGGATATTCCAACTTAGCCCTAAAACCACAAACCTTGGGACAAGCAAAGATCTAGTGGATCTCGGGCTCAGCCAGTGGTATAGCGTGGGGGGGAGCACAGGGGTGGTTGCCCCAGGTGCAAAATTGTTAGGGGGAGCAGAATTTCAACACCTGGTGCTGCCTCAATACAGCTGTGTGCTTCCGTTGCTGGGATCCATTGAAAAGAACTTCTCCATGGGAACCGGGAAGTGACCTCTCCAGGCAACAGAAGGACTCTTCTTTTCTTATCTCTGCAGCTGTGATATCCTGGGCGATGCAGACACTGTTAGGTAGTTGAATGTGCATGTGTCCTCCATCCGTTTTTGTACTCCATCCGTTTTCCTCCCTCTCCCCCTTCTGTGCAGCCCTGGGTGCTATCAACCCATGCTACACCACTGGGCTCAGCTGACAGACAGACTACACCAACATAATCCCCTCATCCTTGCTCAACGAGAGATGTGATGGCATGAATCCTGGCTCAGCCACCCGAGCCGAGATTGGCAGATCTTATGCTGGTGTAAACTCTGAAAAATGGGGGGGATGGCAGTTTCAAGAATGGATGGAGTGGGGAGACTTATGCTACATCCAAACTCTGCTCAGCTCAGTCACATGACCTGGTAACCCAGCAAAACCTGGCAAAAAGGGTGGTTCAAATCAAATTATTCTGAAAGCTTGTTTTCTCTCTTCCAGGCTTTGGTGAGCTCAGCCTATAGTAGCTCCCTTGCTGAACAAAGTTTATAACAGGGTTAATTTACACCAGCTTAAGTTCAGCTATTATTAAGTTCTACCAGCTTCCTATACATAAGGGAAGTGGCCATGGGAATTATGTTTTCAAAGCCGAATTTTGTGTTTTTTCCTCCACTTTCACAGAATCAGTGCATATAAGCAACCCTGGCTATTGCTGCCAATTGAATCAAGGGGGCAGAATAATTTTGTACAGTGAAGGCTATACACTTTAGCATTTGCAACTCAGAATGTCTTTTTAAAAAGGTGCTCATAAAAAAATAAAATTTAATGAGCAATTTTTAAAAATAAAAAGTTGGGCAGTTTTATTTGCTATCTTTGCCTGCAGGTTCCATTGCAATTATGCTGGTTAGAAACATTTAACAAACATATTTAAAACTGAATATATAACAAGTTTATTATATTTTACAACCTGATCCTCAAGGCATAAAGCTGAGTAGGTCCTTTATTGGGCTAAGTGTTGATATCGTTTATTGGATCTACACAATTGGGCTAAGTGTTGATATCGTTTATTGGATCTACACATTCCAAGTTAATTCTGTCAAATCACCCAATAAGGAGAAGGTCATGGAACTAAACCCCAGACTTATCGCAAAAGTTTACAAAATGTTTTAACAACTGTTTGGTACAATGAGAGTTTCTGCATCCATTTCAGTGAAAGCAACATGACTAACAGAAAGATACTGACTTGGGTCTGAAATTAAAGCACTCCTTTCCGTTCACAAAAATGTATTTGAACCAGATCCTGCTAGCATAAAAGTGGGAGGTGATAGTGGTCCACATGGTGGGCAAGAGCAACAGAGCTATCCTCCTGGCACTGCAGTCACTACAACTTATCTTGACAGTGCTGAGGTGATATATGGTGGTGAGATCAGGGCTGCGTGTGCTACACATCATTAAGTGTGATGGGTAGGACTTGTTCTTAGTATGTTACTGGGTGGAGGAATGGCAGGAGGCACCAGCTAGGGCACCTCCCAAGGGAAGAAAGTTTAGAGCCAGGGGATTGGTGGTGGGATGACAATGAGTGATCAGAGGGAGAAGAGAGAGCAGACTGGGAGGAAGAGGTGTCAGAAGCTGAAGAGGTAACAGGGTTTAGTGAGCAGGAAGAGGCTGGGGCAGAGAGCAGTCTAGAAGCAGAAGCAGAAGCAGAAGGGGGTCAAGAAGCAGAGTGGAGGCAAGCTGGTGAAGAAGCCAAGGGATCTCGCCCTCCTATTGTGACCAACTTCCCTCCCTTCTGATCTTCCATAACGCAAAGAAGAATGAAGAGGGCAAAGAGAGACAAGACAATAAAGGCTTAGGCTTCTGGGGAAGGAACCAGGAGAGGAACCTTAGAGAGTTGTGGAAAGGCAGGGACCTTCAGTCCTCACAACTGCCTCATTGGGGCAAGGCCTACTGGGAAGAGTTGCTGTGATCACTAGGCCTGCATTGTTCTGGGTCCTTTGAATAAAGAGTTAATTTCACTGACTCCAGGTGTGTTATTGCTGACCTGTCCCTGACTCTGGCTGCTGACACCTTGTGAGCATTTTATGTATTTTGCATTGCTCCAGCAGATCCACACCATACATTTAAAGCAGGCCCAGCACACATTTAAAGCATGTGACTCTGCCCACAGAATCCTGGGTCACATGACTGAACTGAACAGAGTTAGGATCCAGAGTAAGCCCTCTCCCACCTTCCCAGTCCTGCCCCCTCCCTTCCAGGTGTCCAGGGCTTATCCTGGCATATGTTCTGCTGGCTCGGCTCAGCCAGCTGGGTCACAGCTGAGCCCTGATGGGGGAATTACATCATGTCAGCATATCTTTGGCTGAGACTGGCACAAGGCAGCTGATCCAGGAACCAACCACATCCCAACTTGCTCATCCCAAGCAGATCAAGGGATAGTATTTTGCCCTTAGATGGAAATCTAATAGAGGGGCTACTTCTGCATCTCCCCAAATGGGGACAGGGAATAAGATGTAGATTTTGGTAAAATGTGCCTATTCTGTACATAAAGAAACAAATTTAAAAATAATGATTATTACTGAAAAATAAATACATCTCATCATAGCGAGGAAAACTGTGCCCAGATGACTTGTATGATGTCAATATGCTTCCCAGGTGCTAACTTTTGATGGACAGCTTCAAGGTACCTGCTCTCCCTTTTAACACTTTTTTTTTTTGTCTTTCCAATTGGTTTCAACCAGATACTATTTCAAACAGAGAACTGTCCTCTCTAAAGTAGGACAGATGGTCACCCCAAACTGTAATGACCTCTGAAACATGGGTGCTCCCCCAATACAGCTGCTTGGGCTGCCCTGGTAGGAAATCAACAGTGCTGTTAGTCAGCCTTTTGGGAGATGTTGGATGTTGTTGGAACCATTCCCGAATTCCTACATGCAGTGAATACAAGAGACCAGAAGTTGTTGACCCAGATGCCAAAGTGTACACTTTTTAAATGAAAGTGAAGGAGATTAGTTGATAAGCTTGTTTTGATCTTGGCTTATGCCTGATCCTTATGGGGTCTGGCAGCTTTCAGAGATGAAAATCTGCCTTGGGCAATTATGTCAAATGTAGTCCTGACCCCAGCTAGGCATTGCATCAGCATTTGTAATGGAAAAAGTGCATCTGCTTCTTGATGGAACCAGAGCCCTCAAGGCAATTCTAACTACAATAGTTGATGACGTCCAGGAAGGAAGTGCTTTCAGTAGAGGAACAAAACATTAAGTAACATTAACCTCAGGGAATAAACTCCGGGATAATCCTGGTTGAGTCAGCCTGGTCAAAATAGCTGATTTGTTTATAAAGGTCCACAATCATTATAGCAAATTGTTTGGTTGATGCTGCTTGAATGCTAGTAGAGTGGGCTAGGGACAAAAAATAGCGGATATGGGTACCATCTAATTATTTTTCTTGGTGCTTCCCAAAGGTTTCTGGTCAGCCACTGTAAGAACAGGACACTGGACTGAATGGATCACTGGTCTGATCTAACAAGGCTCTTATGTCCTTCTGCTTCTCATTCTCCCTTCAAATGGCATGAGTGTGGCATGCTTGGGATCATCCCATTCATCCACATAACATCCCCTGTGAGCTACGTTTGGTTGAGGGCTGGCATCCTATCCCAAGCTCCCTAGTGAATTTCAAAGTTAAGCAAAAAATTCAACCTGGGTTCCCCAACTTCCCATCCAGATTTTTGCATTCTAGTTACACCATGATGACTCTCTGAAAATGGATGTCAGACCTCACCAACAGCAACAAACAAACAAACCTCATACTATAAAGAGATTTTCTTGATGGCTCTGTAGATGGAGTGATTTGACACTGATTTAGCATCAACACAATCTGTTGTCCAGATGCAGGGCTCACATACGGTAATTCACAACATTGAGCCAGATTCATCTAAATAGTTGGTCTAGAAGAAGCCAGCATAACAAGTCCTGCCACTGCAATGGGGCTTTGCTCTGAACCCCCCAAATCATCTCTGAGTGGGTCAGGAGAACCCTCAGAACAGTGCATGAGGGGAGATCCTTCTGGCAAGTAGAAATATTGAATTTCTCCCATTATCTTTTTGGTAGAGGAGAAGGGACATGCTTTCTCCTCCATCACAGAAAATAATGTAGCTGCTCAAGTAAATGCCTTAACCAACCCTTCATCATGTAGGAACAACCAAGGGAGCAGAGGCCAACCAGCTACATTAGAAAAAAACAAAACACAGATCTTGTCTTAAACTGTGTTGGTGAATGCCATTCTTGCAGTATGTTGTCATTTTTTTTATTAATGCATTTATATTCTTCCTCTCTGGCTGCCTAATGACTCACGGATGGAGCTATTAAGGAGAGTAGTTGTGAGAAATAATGAGCTTTATAAGCAGGAAAATATCTCGGAGATTTTGCTTCCAGGGAGCAGCTAGCTGATGATTTGAATAGTGGTAATTCTGATCAGCTTTCATATTTCCATGCACTATGTTTCCCTGATGGGCCAAGGCTCTCTCTAGGATCAACAGATTGGCCACTGGTGGCAGATCAGGTGTAGGGAAGATGCATGACTTCAAATGTGGGAAATGTTTAATGTGAACTTCCCCGCTGCTCATGTATATGGTCCCATTCAGCATCAGCTCCAGCCCCTTTCAAGCTGAAGTGGAATCAAAATGTACATTGTATTCTGTCTCCTAACTCTTCCCTTTCTAACCTGTTCTTGAACTTCTCCAAGCCAAAGACCTTACCTTAAGGGAGTAAGAAGATACAATACTGCCAGTGTGGTGTAGTAGTTAGTGTGCTGGACTAAAAACCTGGGAAACCAGAGTTCTAGTCCCTACTCAGCTACGACATTCACTGGGTGACCTTGGGACAGTCACTGTCTCTCAACCTAGCCTACCTCACAGGGTTTTTGTAAGGATAAAGAAGAAGATGGAGAACCGTATATGCCACCTTGAGCTCCTTGGAGGGAAAAATGGGATATAAATGTAATCAGTGCTATTTTTCTAGAGAAGTGGTGCTGGAACTCACCATGAACACTTCCCTCATGACAATGGAGCCCACCTGAGAGGTGTCGGAACTGAGTTCTGGTGTGTTCGGCTGAAAAATAAGAAGCCCTGAATGAAATAAATAATAAGAATATGAAGATAGGAGATAACTTGCACTCCTTGCCTGGCAATGAAACATCATTTCCTTCTGGTGTGATTACGAGGCATATAATTTTAATGAGACTAGTTCCCCACCCCACAAAACCCATTCTGGAAGGTACCTGGAACCACCTCTACCTGGAGGATGGGAGATGTAATGAAAATGTTAAACAGTTGGCATCTGAGCAGCAGAGGGAGGGGTAGGTTGGTTCTTTTTTGGGCCAGGCTATGAAATATATACTTGAAGGTGCTACTGGGTGCAGGGTGATGCTTCCTTGGAACTATGACTGCTTGCTTGTGTGCCTTCTTTCTTCATATCTAGGTGTCACAGGAAGCAGTATGGCAGGCAGGGCAACCTGGCTTCCTGATGGTGTGTGTTGCTGCCTGGTGCTGAGAGGTGGAGAGGCAAGACAGCAAGGAGTTTGGCAGGTGCAGTTGCAGTGCAGTTGCAGGTGTAGGGGATCAGATTGGTTCTGCTACTGAGCCTGCACTGCACTGAGCTCCCTGGCACTTTGTATGGTGAACAGGTCAGGTGAGCAATGCTGCCGTGACAACCACTGTTGATCAGAAGCGCTGTATCTCAGCAGTAGATCATCTGATTGACATGGAGAAGGTCTCAGGTTCAATCCTTGGTCCTTGCAGGATAGGTTAGGAAGGCTTTCTGTCGGAAACCCAACAGCCAGGGTAGACCAATGGTTTGTCTATGTTGCGTACCCAGGTTGGGGACCCATCTTAAACAATAAATAATGAGACACAAGAAGTTCTTATTTTGGGTGAAATCAGGCCACAACTTGATTGACTACAGATGTAAGAGGTTTGGCATAGGCATTGAATAGACCACACTCCTTCTGGTCTGCCTGCCAGAAGTACTTAATTTGAGGTCAACAGGAAGTGAGGGAGTTCCCTCTCTGGATTGTGCCTGGGAATCCAGACAGAAGCATGTCCCATGGATCCCTTTAATGGGATACTCCATTTACCGGAGGGGCAGGCAGAAACTATAACCTTCCCTCTCAAACAAATGCATAATAAACCACACTGCAAATCTGCAGTTTTTGACAAGGAAACCAGTTGTGTCATGCAGTATCTTCTGAAATAGAAGGTAAACAGATATAAGGCAGATAATCTGTCACATAGGAAATCAGTTTCATTTCACATAAACAGCTGGCGACACCTTGGAAGCTTCTGTGAGTAATTTCAATGCATGGAGCAGCGACTGAGGTTTTGAAATGTAGCGACTGTGCTACAGTGTCATTCCCGAAGCAATTGCAGTGGGCGTCAAAATATTTATCGACCTCCAGCAGAACTAGATCATTAAGAAAGAAGAAGTGTGCATGTTAAGGTCAGCCGACCTGAGAAAGGAAGAAGGGCTGAAATCAATGAAGACATCTCCCCTGTTTGAAAGCATAAGCTGCTGATTACCATTCGGTACACAGGAGAATGCCTGTGTACTCTGCTCCAGAGGGAGGCTTGGGGGCTCAAAGAAAGCCCCACAGAGAGACAAGGTGCCTTAGGCAGGCTTGAAGCAAAAACACTGTGAATGATTAATTACTTCAGCAAAGTCGGTGTTCTAAAGAAAGCACAAAGGTTGCAGGCTTTATTTGCACAGGGAGGCGGGAACCCACAAAACCATATTTCAGTAATTCCCTGAGTCTGAAAGTGCTCAAGTGTCAGTGCAATGGGGTTGCCATCTTTTCTCCGACAGGCTTCATTTGCCTTTGCTGCATGGCAGGCAGATGTTCAACAGGTCCAGGGCATGCAGTGGAGGGGAAAGCATCACCTGCTCGTCTTTTGCAGTCGTGCAGCTCTTCATGGCACCAGAGCCCTCCCCAAAAACAAAATGGCAATCCTAGAGTGTAATGATGAAGCCATCACAATTGTTTAGAGAAGAGAGTTTTGGCTAAAAGGGGAAAACCCCGGGACTGAAAAGCACTAATTGCACGCTAACCACGTGGATTTGTAAATCTGATTTCTTCGTTGATGTGATCTCTAGTGAACAGAAGTGCTCTTGGCTCAGATAATGGGCTTATAAGTCAGATGGCTTATACATACCACTGGTGGCACTTGACTATTCCTTCTCTCTAACAGCACAGAAGTGCAGCATAGGCCTGGTTCTCACAAGCAGATGGGATGGCAAAGTTGCTTCGGGGCTGGATGAGTCCAGACTATGAGCCACTTTTTGTGGTAGGGGAGGGAACTGGAAGACAGATGTTGGTCAGTGGAGTGACACAGGAGGAGCTGCATTGCAGAGCAGGCTAACCAATGCCAATTACTGAGAAGGCAGGGAGCAAAGTATCGGGGAGTTAGGCACGGTGCAGGTGCAATGGCAGAACCGATCTGCTTCCGCTTCTGCACTGTGCTGCATTGTCCTTAGCAGTAACTTTGCCCCTATCGGTCACTGGCAGCCGTGAGTGGCATTAGAAAGCCAGGCCAGCCATCAACCACACCTGCACCACCAGCCACAACTGCACGGCACTAAGCGGAACATGCCAAAGTCAGAAGTGGGGGAGGCAGGGTGGGTATGTCACATTGGTGACAGGGATGTTGCATGTCCCCAGGGCCCACTATACATGTTTTGCTGCCCTGTGTTTGGTTTCAGTACTTGAGGAAGCATAAGGTGGGTGAGGGAAGCATAAGCTCTTACGGAACGTTTCAATATCCATTTCAAAGCACTGTGGATTTAAGTAACCCTGCTCAGTTTGTTCAAGGTGTAGCAGAGATATGTAAGAGATAGAGACATGCTTCCATCTCTGTGCCAAGGATATGAGATGTCTGTACCTCCCTTTTGCACCAGAGCTGTCATTCTGCCATGATTGTGCTTTGAAGTTTCTGATTAGATTCGGGGGGCTGACTCGTATTTGATTCTGCCCGCCCAACCCACCCAAGGATCTGCTAATCTTGCAAGAACAGGCTCTTCTTGTGAGATTTACAATGCTTTCTTGCTTCCAAATGCCTTGAAATATCCTCCAATTTTGTTGCAGTATTTCAACAACCCCTGGCTGAGCAGAACAAATAATAATAAAAAATCAATACCTTTTTTTACCTTGGTACAGGAGGTCAGCACAACATCAGTGCACCTCTTCAGCCCGCTTAAAATCCTCGTGTTATGACGGGACTTGCTAAAAGCATAAGTAGAGGCAAGAATCTGTTGAAAGGTGCAAGCTCACCACTTTAGACCTCAGTAGGAAACTTTCAGAAACAAACCAACTGTAGTTATAATTAGAGGTGGGAACATTTGCAGTCTCTGGCAAATAGTTTCCAACTTGGCTCCAGTTTCCACTTCACAGTCACAGAGAGAAGTGTGTGTTCATGCAGTGGGAGATAGAACCCAGGAAAGTAGTACCCAGCCTGTGTTTTATTGTTTCTATTTGTTCATTCTTTGACCTGCTTTTTGCTAATCTGCCAAACTCAAAAGCCTTGTTCACTTACCAGAGCAAAGAGAGTCCTGGAAGATGACCTCACAGTTCCTGCTCTGAAAACGGCACCTTGGAGCTGTGTTCCTCTGCATTCCTCTTCCACAACACCACTTTGTGGGACACGTAAGGCAGCAAAGAACTTCAAACATACATCTGCAGATGGGTGGATCCTGCCATAGTCTTACCACTTGGTAATTAACCCTATGAAACTTGCAATTGAGTGACTCCATTCAGCCTAGCTTGCAAATCAACCCTTAATAGACCCGCTTCATGCTCCCTGAAACTGCACTGATGATTCATCTGATATAATTACTGTCTTTAACACAAACAAAAAAAGTGGGGCGTTTGGGGGTTAAAGCATTGAAGAGTGGCAGCTTTCGGTTTCTGATAGAAGTTGTGTATGGAATGACAGAGGTCAAGCAAAAGAATTTTAGCACTCAAGCGAACTTGTGACTGTTGTAGCAGCAGCAGGGTGGCTGTGACAAAGTGCAGTGACATTTACAAAATTCTTTGATTGCTAGGGACGATTAGGTGCCCTGCTTTGTCAAAGGAATAGGTACTATCTCTCTGTAACTGCTGTAAAAGAGACAGTGCTCAGAGGAATAAGTTGCAATAAAAGTTAGTTAAGCATCAAGGCTGGTAATATTGGCGACTGTAATTCTGGAAACTGTGACATGTTTGGCCTCCTGTGAATGCAGCTTTTGCATGTGTGTGAAAACAAGTGCCACTAGAAATAATGAACGCTTCTCATTCAGACTAGCAAAAGTTCAGACCCTCCAAGTGTCCCTATTTTCCAGGGACAGTCCCAGATTCACAGAATCCATCCCAGTTTCTGATTTGATCCTAGAATGTCCCGCTTTTCCTTTGGAAGTCCCTATTTTCATCTGAGAAATATTGGAGGGTATGGAGTTATGTAACCCCTGAGCCAAGGACATAAGTAACTAGGCAACCTTTAGAAAAAATCTGAAGGCAGTCTTGTATAGGGAATTTTTTTAATGTTTAATGTTTTATTATGTTTTTATATTTGTTGGAAGCTGGCGGTGTATAAATAATAAAATCATCATCATCGTTGTCATGGAATAGGATGTCCCAATTTTCATCAGAGAAATGTTGGAGTTTATGAAAATTCAGATTAACAAATGTGACCACCAATGTTGGAGGCAGTATACTAGGAATCACAGGTGAGTAGGCATGGTGAGGAAAGGAGGCTTGACTAGATAGGCCTCTGGCCTCACTCAGCAGGCTGATTTGTACATTCCTGTATTCTATATCCTGACTGAGAGGCCTAAAATCTATTGAGAAATTTCACAAATTTCGATCAATTTTCTTTCAATATAATTTCTATAGCCTTGAGCAGAGAATGTTGCTTTTGGTAAAATTTGGTAGCAACTTAACGTGACTTGCCTAGGTATGGCAGAGAAATTTGGCCTGCTTTGCAATTTAATCCAAAAAAAGCTACCTTATTCATACTTCCCGAAACAATATGTAGACAGAGATGCAGCCATCCTTTGAAATGTGCACATCTCCAAATTTTGTGGTGCAATTCTCTAACCAAACAATGAATAAAAATAATAATAAATGAATGTATTAGGACGAAGTGTGCATAAAAATGCATATATTGTCAAAAACAACACACAAAATGCATTTTATTAGGGGAAAGTGCTTGTCAAAATGTGTGTATTAGGCAAAATTGCATACAAAAAGTTGAACTGCACATTAAAATGTTTATGAATTTTTATTAGGATTTTTAAAATGCAAATTTATGCCAATATGTGGAGAACTTATCCTACATTTGGGGAAATGAGAAACAGGGAGAAAATGGAACAGACAGATCCATCAATTCCTAGACCCAACCTCATCAAAGTTCATTTTAAGTTCCCTTAAAATTCACACAGGTTTTCCTCCTGAAGAGGACCTTCCGAATTTGCCTCCAATTATGGTTTTAGCCACAATTGATAGGCTGCATTTGGCTTTCTGTTTTAGCAGGGTGGGAAGCAAAGGCCTGGTGTGTAAACAACAACAACAACAACAACACATTATTTGTACACTACCCATCTGTCTGGTGCTGCCCCAGCCATTCCAACAGAATGTACAAAAGCACAAAAGAACATCAAACATTAAAAGCTTCCTGGTACAGGGCTGCTTTCAGATGTCTATGGAAGGTCATATAATTATTTATCTTTTTGTGACTACCAAGAAGACCCTCTGCCTCATTCCCTGTAACCTCACTTCTTGTAATGAAGGAACCACCAGAAGGCCTTTGGAGCTAGACCTCAGGGTCTGGGTTGTACGATGGAGTCTCTCCTTCAGGTATAGAGGGCTGAACCAGGGCTTAAAACAACAATAAACTATAAGTGGTGGAATAATATGGCTGCGTGTAGGAGATGGAAATCACCTAGTGCATGCCTTTTTTCATAGGAGGGGTTGTATTTTCAAGTTTTCTCTTAGAAATGATGTCTACCACACACATCTCTAGTGGTGGATGTAGTGGGACTACCTGTCTTTTGCATAATAATATGCTCCTCATTCCAGGCACATGACACCATGTCATGACAAATGTGTAGCTTGATGATGATGAATGAGGTGTGCTGCACAAAACAGCGGTATCAGCTGCACATCTTCCCAGTTGTGTGGGACAGATGGGATGTGGCAATTTGACAGGCATGAATAAATGTGGGACATTATCTTTGTGTTTATGCTTGGATGAAATGGGATTAGCCTTCTCAGTCCTTCTTTGCACACCTTATTCTGAAAGACTAATAGAACAATCTTAATTATGGAAAGCCAGTGTAACCCAGACTGGTATAATATACCCCAAATCCAAGGATCGTCTGAGTGGGACTACTACCAGGTGAGCCAGCAGGTGAGGGTAGGCTGGAGTTTTGAGGATTGGGCCCAGTGACACATGACCAAGCTGAATGGAGTTTGGAATAGATGTAAGCCGTGATCGCATCCCACCCCTCAGCACACACCCAAAATACACTGGTGTAAGTTCCACCTGGCTGAACCAGGGTGAAGGCTTTATGCCGATGGATCTCCACCTCAGCTGAAAGGAAGGACCTGTGCCAGTCTAACGCTGGCTCAGCAATGAAAGCCCAAGAGCTGCTGATCATGGAATTGTAGAGTTGGAAGGGACCCCCAGGGTCATCTAGTCCAACACCCTGCAATGCAACATGGGGCTCAAACCCACAACCCTGAGATTAAGAGTCCCATGCTCTACCAACTGAATCCACACTCTCTCATCCCAGCAGATATCAGGTTTGGATTGCGCTATAAAATGACTTTGGGTGTTGTTGTTTTTATTAAAGATTTTCTTGGGCAACAAAAGTACTGCTTTCAGTTCCTTTCTACAGATCAGCTACATTCAATGTGGGACACTATTGTTATAGACAGTGTAAGGTTGGGGGAGAAGAGAGGTGGCGGGAGAGAGCAGGGGAGAGAGAAAGGGGGATAGTACACTTTCCCACTTTTGCATAGTGCATGAGTGATGTTTTTGTGTCAGCGTCACATGGTTAAGTTCTTTATCTATTCATTTATTGGTTTCTGTTTATGGTGAGAGAGACTGGGGGTCCCAGGGCATGGTTGGTTGCCTTCAGTTGACTGCACTGAGTTTTGTTTGTTGGGTCAAAGTAGCCAGAAGCGACTGCATCCACCCATTGTTAAGATTACACAATCATAGAATCTTAGAGGGGTCATCTAGTCCAACCCCCAGCAACACAATAGAAAATGTGAATGGAAAATAGAATGGAAATGCAATAGAAATGCAATAGAAGGAAAGGCCGACTCTTGCAAAGACCTGTTTTTTGTGGTTGTCTGATGTGGAGAAGTATATAGAACGTCCAAATTTCTTACTAAGGCTCTATAAATTTGTGTAACGAAATTTAAATGGAGTGTGGGAAATGATTTATCCTCTGAAGGTCAAGGAGTAGAAATGTAAAACACTATTAGTAGCAGTATTCTTGTTATTATTATTATTCTGGTTCCTCCCCCCCCCCATCTTCCATTTAGGCAACCCAGAGCTGGTGTTTTGCCTCATTGAAATATGATGCACTGGAATAAATATTGAAAAATCCCAGTGCATCATATCCATTTTAGGGAGAGGAAATATTCATGCCTGGGATGCCATTGTTTGTCTGAGCAAATAATTGTGTTATGTTTCTCTGAACTTGGACAGCTTTCCATCTTCTTGTTCTTCTTTTCTTTTTCTGTTGGCACCCTTCCCTGTAATAACAGCTTCCACCTTAACACAGTTTAGCATTACAGTAATCTCTTCATGTCAGTTCTTATGGTTTAAGTTGGACAAGCGACATGCTGTGGGGAGACAGAGCCGTAAAAACCCTTGTCATCGAAAGCTGGAATTGTACATCTTAAGTTTGCATTCCAGCCATTAAAGTACCAGCTGTTCATGGCTGGGGGCAATATATAGTTTATTTCTCTTTCAATCACAAGTCCCACCACTTCTCCAAAAGGGAGCCTGCGGAACGATGGCCATTAATATAAATTTGAAGTCAGAGAAAAGATTAACACTGAAATTTTCCATGCCTGAGCCAGCAGACACTGACAAGCCCTTGTGATTTAAGATGCCACCCTGACACTTTTGATTATAATTAAAATCACAGACATATGGAAGGCAAATAACTGGATGTCAGTTGATCTGTCTGGGAAAGTACAAGAAGACAGAGTGGCAAAGTAATGGGAAACTAGTTTCTGTCTCGACAGAACACCCTTCTTTTTGTTTTTAGCCTTAAGCTTTTGATCACTTTAGCAAGAGTACAGATCTGCCAGCTGTTTCTTCCTGGTCTCAACAATGTCAGTCACTTGGCAGGGCACTCTCACCAGTATTTGTTCCTTGCCACTTTCTTACCCATTGGCCAACTCAAAGGAATTTCCGTAAACAGAACAACAGGCCGCTGCTGTCATTTTAAAACCTTCTTCCACGGGGGGGCCTTTTTCCCCCTTGTTGAAATGTTTGCCAACAAGTGCCGCAGAGAAATGGGTTCTTCCAAGCTGTGTGATGTGTTGTTCTAATGCCACATTAAGTGCGAACAGAATAGGAACCCAAAATGCGTTAGAAGTGCAGATAGAAAATAACTTGAATTCCTGGCTTGCAAAATGGTAAGTGGCACATGGATGAGAAATG